TGGATTGGTCTCTGTCACAAGATGCATCTGTGGAAGATTGTTGGATACTTATAAAAGAGAGATTGACGTCATTGTGTTCCCAATTTGTGGCATTGAAATGTCGAAAGGTTGGACCGATTAAGCCTCATTGGTTTGACAAGGAGTATAGAAACCTGGCTCGGAGGCGGCGTAGACTGTGGAACAAATTCCTCCTCTCTGGCTCTGCCAATGATTATGAAGGGTATAAATGTCAGCGGAACCTCTGCAACAGTGCAAAAAAAACGCCGACATTTCGAACAGCAACTCGCAGTAGCCGCGAAGACCGCCCCAAAGAGAATCTTTGCATATGTGATGCGACGCCTGAAGCCGTCAGGTGACGTGCCAGTGCTGGATGGCACGGATGGACAGCACCTAACCTCCAGCACTGAGCGTGCGTCCGCGTTGGCGGCGCACTTCGCATCTGTATTTGCGAATAACCAGGTGTCTGTTCCGAGTTCGACGTGTACCGCTTTTACCGAACTCGATAATCTGCATTGCGGCGTTGAAGAGGTAGCTCAACTAATCGCCAACCTTGACGGCACCAAACATGCCGGACCTAATGGGTTTCACCCGCTGGTTTTCAAGTCACTTTCGACCATCATCTGTCATGACTGACCTTTTCAACAGGTCGCTGTCCAAAGGTTTGTTGCCGGTTGACTGGAAATGTTCGGTAGTGAAGCCTATTCCGAAAAGCGGCGATCCTAGCAAAGTAGACTATTACAGGCCAATTTGTCTGACACCTATTTTGACAAAGGTTGCTGAGAAAATCGTGAAGAAAGGATTGCTGCAGTTGCTACAGTCAAACGAGGTTCTGACGCCCGCACAGCACGGTTTTAAGCAAGGTCGCTCATGCATTACGAACCTGCTTGTGACGAGGCATGAGTGGTTGAAGGCAATAAACAAGGGGAAGTCCGTCGACGTGATATTCATCGATTTCAGTAAAGTGTTCGACAAGGTCAGTCATGAGGTTCTCCTTCACAAACTCAGCATGTGTGGCGTCGGTGGCTCACTGCACCGGTGGATCCGCGACTTTCTTGTTGGACGAAAGTGGAGGGTACAGGTCGACGACCATCTAACTGACTGGTACCCCTCTACAAGTGGCGTGCCTCAAGGCACTGTGCTGGGCCCCACTCTGTTTCTGATTCACATCAACGATCTACCGCAGCTTCCCCGGTCGCCGTGTGCCTTGTTTGCGGATGACATGAAGATTTGGAGAGAAATCGACGCTCCCGATAACTGTGGCCTACTTCAGAATGACCTTAACCGCCTATCCACAGGTTCTGCAGAAGTTCTTCTTTCGGTCAACCCAGCCAAGTCTGTATTTATGAGCCTGGGGAAGGGTGCTAACGGCCGAACCTACACCCTTGATGGCCAAACGCTATATCCCACACCCTCTGTGAAGGACCTAAGTGTACTCTCGCGCTACGATTTGAAGTCCGTGGGCAACACGAACAGGCTATATCGTAACGGACTGCGCATGCTTTGGGCGCTCAAACGTAGCTTCGGCACATGGTCTGAAGAGGTTGCCACTCGCCTCTTCTTTTCTATCGTTAGATCAATGTTAGAGTACGGTTCGCCCACCTGCTTTCCGATTACCCGAGGCGAGGCACAAAAGATCGAATGGGTCCAACACGTTGCTACCAGGCTCATCCCGAGTTTACGTGGCTTTGGGTATGAAGACCGGTGCGAGAAACTAAGACTCTACACCTTGTCCTACCGTCGGGTGCGAGTCGACCTCATTATGACCTACCGAATTCTACATCTCGGTGACTTCCCAATGCTAAGGCCAATGCTGCACTTACGAGGGCCATGCAGCACACGCGGACACAGATACAAACTTGTCGTGCCGGATGTGATATGTGTTCCCCACCCACTGTGCTTCGAACGGAGAGTGGTAAACATTTGGAACAGTTTGCCTGAACATGTGATTGAGGCAACATCTGTGCAACAGTTCAAAACGTTGTTAGATTTGTATTTTGCCACTAATCGATTCAGAGGACGACTGCACACTTACGATGACATATCACACTTGTGAATCCTGAAATATCGTAAGTCGAATATTTTAAATATTACCTGAGTAGGACAATGATATTCACGGTTGACTATTTTTATAACGTTTTTCACCAGATTTCGAAACAATTGTACAGAATCCATTTCTACTTGCTCTATAATACCGTATTCAGGATTCAGTATTCAGCGCACGAGTGAGCGTTGTCGTCGCTTTTGTTTTTAAGACATACTTTCCCCATATTACTTCCCCAGCTTACTCTACAGTAATAATTCGATACGCATTCTAAAATGTTTTAATGAAACAGGGCATCTGAATCGCTAGAGGCTTAAATTGACGAGTTACACTTATGGTTACTTTCACTCCAACTATACTACGGGACTTGTAAAACAATCACTTTTTTACCTGTAATATATCATTGTTCATTGTTCATTGTTCAATATACGTTCCAAGAAGGCCTGGACGACCGTCTAGTAGAGGAATGTGCGTTAATACAAATCACATAATTCAGAACCCATATCTTCCAGAGAAGACTGGAACTGGTGGTGATTGAGAGTATGTCCAGAATGAAATTAACACTTGCAATGCCCGGTAGCAATACACAAGAAATATCCAAGATGTGGTACCCAGTATATGAACAGAGGGACCCCGATGTGCAAATCTTCCAACCGAAGCTTGATCTGCCCTACCAGGCTTCACCTCCTTCCAGTCATATTTCTCCCACCATCAAGTGTGGAGCTTCTAGGCCGCTTCTACGGAAGGTAATGGTCTGGGAAACTTGTGTACAGTTCCAGGAGAAGTTTCTTTCCTGCTGTCATTCCAGGCAAGCGCCCTCCCACTGCCAATGCTTCCATCATCGGAAACTGTGAATTGATATCACAAATGAACAGCAGAAGCTGTGATGGATAGAGAAATCAGTGAACTTATCCAGCTCCATAGAATAGCTTAAAAAATTTGCTGATTTCTTCTGTATCTACAACACTATGTTCTCTCCAAGATTTTTTGTTCCCCACACAGCTGAACTTGCAGCAAGGCTCACAGCTGTAAACAAATTGCCTTTCTCAGGACAGAAATCATTCACAGCATCTATACAACACTCTGATTAATTTGCCAACAGTTTACTTTCCTCCATTTTCACGCTATCTGGTAAATATTCGGGTGACAGTTTCATTTTGAGATAGCCTTCTCTTGAGGAGAAAGATTCTTTGCGTTTCTAAACCACTTTCATGGACTTATATTTCGTCGACCTTTGCTTCCACGAAAACTCTGAATACGGTGATAGGAGTTTCGTTACAGGAGGAGACCGATGAGCGTAGTCTTTTAAAACGCCAACACTTTAGCCGCATATTACGCAACTGCTTTTTCAGTGTATAGTTACCAAGAAGTATTTTACTCTCCACTTTTCCTTGAACACCTAACATTCTTAGTAGCCATAATTAGCGGTACAGTTAAACAGGAATTGAAAAGGATAAAGGCATTGAATTGGAAAACTAGTTAACATCCTCTAGGAACAGAAGCAGAGCAAGTATTTGAGGGTCCCTGCTGAAGCAACGGCTCAGCAAAGGCGCACGTGAATTTTACATCAAGCAGTTTATTGGTAACTTTGGTAATATTTCACATAATGAGTTTTGTAAACATATGCGTAAGGCAAACCTAAATAAACAGCATGCAGCAGTGGTTGTTAACTGTGGTTCTGCGAGTGGCAGCCAGAGGTGCCGCAGAGACGGATCGAAATCGAAATCCAGAGTTTCCATCATTTTGGTCTACCACGAGCACACTGAATCCTTCATTATCTCCACCGTTAGCAGATATGTGACCTGCCTTGAGAGGCCTGTGGCATGCTCCCATTGTCTTGACGTGGTTACACTACTCGCGAACATCATGGGTTCGGAAACTCTACCACTAGGCCGTGAGGTACTCACCACCACAAGTGGTGTTCGTGCCGATTTCTATGCCATGACAGGACTTGACTCCATGTCACTTGAATCAATGACAAGGACGACCATGGCGCACCGCGCTGTGCCTGTGTGAACCAGACGACCACGTGGGGCACATGCAGACTAACATCCAAGTGGGACCAAACTGACGTCCATGACAAGAGGGTGCCAAACAGTACGAGCTTACCGTGCGAAATGCGGCATAGATATAGAGAGTTGTACAGAATTCATTTCTACTTGCTCTATAATACAGTCTTCAGTATTCAGTATTCAGAGGGGGCCATGTGAGTGTTACTGAATATCGCTCAAACTGTCGCAAATGCTGTGCAAGATGAAAGGGCCAAACATTGCTGGGGTGCGGCGATGTTGTAGCATGTACCCGTTCAGCATGGGTTCGTGTAAAGAAGTGATGGAAAGTACATTCGACAACAGAGTTACAATGGACGTGTAGATTATTTGGGTTCTGAAGTTCGTGTACCGTTGGCAGTCCTGATTAGCTAACGTCGCGGGCCGGATCCGGCTCGCAGGTAGTAGTTTGGTGACTTCTGGTCTAAACGAACGAGGCAGCATCACGAGTCCTATGCTGTGGTTGCAAGGATAAGCACGCGTTATAGTAGTCCCATCGCTAACGGAGTAAAAGTTTTATGAGCTATGTGTCTCACCTAAGGTGATGCATGGTCCGGAATTTAAATGAGACCATGCTTGGGCTATATTACAAACCACTTAATGTTCTTACAAAGTATACCAACCACGTTCCAGTCATTTTTAGCCTCTAACTAAGCTGACTGTTGGGTTTACACCACAGCCTAGCTAACAGACTAGATAGGCATGCTGTCCGAATTAAGTGACGTGAACATCTGTGGGTGGCATCACTAATGGTCCGTTGGTATAAACACATGATGTTTCAGCACCCTGCACATTACATTCAGGTGGATCGACACTGAGATACAAGTGGTACAATAGTTAACCACATAGCCGAACAGATCGAACTGTGTATATGAACGATTTGGCCTAATCGTGAAGGCATTCACTCTAGCGCAGTCTACCGCTGATCTACTGTTGACACCTACGGTAGGGAGATGGACTTGTTAAGGATTGCTCTGGTGTTTCTCTTATCCACCCAGTTCTCACTGGGGGTGGGGCAGACAATTCATTTTGGCGAGCAGTTCAAGGGGTTGCATTTCGCTGACCCAGACTCCGCTGGGTAAGTTACTTTCTAATATTACCCCCACAACATTTTTATCATTTCGCACTTCCAATGCACCCGAGTTCTATACGCCAACAATCATCTGATCACCTGATCATCTGATCATCTGATCGGAGAATCTCCTGCTTCGTATTGTAAGTAGTTTGAAGTTGTCGGTTTTCGTATCATCCCAAAGCGACTGTCCTGTGCGTTGCCGATTTAGGAAGCGTCAAGAGCTGTTATTTCCTGCAAGCACATGCGCTTCTATTTTGTCTGATGCTGTGTCTTTTGTGGTTCATGTTTTGATTTCATTCATTCCAGTCTCATTTCGGTGAAATGTGCTGGTCATCCTGTAATGCTATATTATTTAGTCTGTCAAGTGTTTCCATTTCCTTACTACTTACAAGCTGTTCTAATTCGTTAGCGCACTATGGCCACTTTCTCCAACTTCTCGACTTTTATTTCACAGTCGACATTGAATAATTGCATGACTACGTAGACCTAACCAGTGTGCATAAGTTAGATGCAGCCAGGCTCACTTGTTTTCGTATTAATGAGCTAACTAGTGCGACCATACCTTGTGGGAACGTGTGCGCTAGAGCAGATTGAGTCATATCAGCCAATAGGAGTACAAGCAACCCATCTATTATTATTATTATTAAAACACCTAAGCCAACAATAGTTTGTAATGGTCTACTTACGAGTATCAAAACTACTGCCTTAGCGTGTTGGCAGACTGACACTGGTAAACAGTATGAATAGCTTGACGTAAATAAACACAACGGAGAATCGACCATTTGAATAGGCGACAATCCGCCTTATCACATGCTCAGTGGCTCCTTAGTTCAATTCACATCCACATTGGAGGGTTTATTGTTGCATACTTCCATTACTGCGCTCCATTACGTGTTATTCATTTGTTTGGACTCATCAGGTAGTGATCAGGGAGTAGAACTCGGCACATGGTGGTTAGAGGCAACCACCATGATATCTAGGCCATGGAGCTTCAGGAGCAGCGGTTGATACAGCGAGTAAAAGTTGACTGTGGGGTTCTGAATTACCCGCCATGTGTCTTGAACTGTGACACGCAATCTCAATTGTGGCTTCGGGTGACTTTGAACTCAGTCTGTGCCTTTCGGATCAATGGAACCGTATCCGACCGAAGTGGAAGGTTTTGGAGTTGCTCTCTCACAACACCGCAACCTTCTATTTCGGATACGGTCTCAGTGATCCAAATGGCAGATGCTGACTTCAAATTCGATTGAGGCCACAATTGAAGTTGCTTGTCGTAATCTAATACACATGGCAGATGCTCCGAAACCCAACACTCACATCCAGGTGTTAGCGGATTTTATCTGACTCGAGTTCGTTCTCTCCGTAATTGCCACCCTGTTCTATTATATGCTGACATCATATGGAGTCGATCCAGCTGGATGGAAGAGAAGCGGCGCCCGATATGAAACTTGGTGACTAGCAAAAAAGTAAACCAAAACATATTCGGCATTTCTTTCTAATGTTCCGGAACACCTAACGCATATTCGGGTAGCAAGCACAAATCCGCTTTTCTGTTCAGTTCGAATCGCTATTTGAGTCGAAGAATGCAGACGCCGGACTCCTGTGCTGATCCGGAACAATTTAGAAATAATGTATAATACGTGTTGATACCGTTTATCCTCAGAGTGCCTTCGTTCCATTTTAGTTTATACACTCCTATTATCTGGAATGTTATTCAGCACATATTGGTTGCGACAAACCAATTGTGTGGTCCTACTTCGTTATACGCTTGATGATCTACTTCGGACAACGGTGAAGCCGCTTAGTCTTGTTTGGACTACATAGAGCATACGCTGTCAACATTGCCGGCAGCTTCACTTGCTTAAAAGTTTTCTAAATAAGTGAATTATTGATAGAGCAATAAAACTACTGAGTGATAAAAACGCTGGTAAGGGAAGGCAGCATCTACTGTTCAAGTGTCTAATGTTCCGTAGATAAAAAGAGTGAAACTACACTGTACAGTTGTTGTGAAATCAACGTAGTTCGGTGGACCCACATTACATTTCACATGACCTCCCAGATAGCATCCGTTATCTCGTGTCCAAATAAGTTGGGTTAACTCACGGAACAATGTAACCATGGTTCATAACGGGTGAAAAGCACAGGCTTAACACGCCTCGTATGTTGGTAATGTGCCCCATGCTGAGGCTGATGTTGCATTCTTGATGCCTCTTCATCGTAGTTGGGCTAAACCAACTTACACTTACACTAGGTCTTTTTTAAGCTGGATAAATTTCATTCCACTTTATTTGGTTTGTTCTGCCTACCTGAATAATCTTCTATTAACTGGCCACGTTGCTTACGGAGATTGTGCTTATCTTCGTTAACTTAATTGTGTTTGTAGTATTTTTGGATGAATTGTGAACATTCTGTGCTTATCGCGGATTCGTTGCTAACCAACTTACTTCATCTGCTAATTTAGCGAAGAGTTATGTCGGTATAGCCGTATTTTTTAACAGATATATTTTATGTGATAATATCATTTCAAGTGATTGGCTGTTGTTTGACGTCCCCTGTGTGGCTGCGCTTGATGTGCATGTTGACAAGGTGCCTACCTGTCTATTACCCACTACCTCGTCCATACTGGCTCTAGGAGACAGTTGGTCGTTGATGGAGGGGACGGGGTGCACGGTCCTTGTGGCCGTGCTAGGCTCGAAGAGTGGTTCCATACACTCAGGGTGTAGCAGACTACAGTCCAGCCACCGCCTTGTGTGCGCTTGATACCCCAAATACAGCGCGCTTGTGTTTACCTGTGAAGGAGTGTGGGCCGGCTCCGTTGAAGAAACGTGGCTCTCATCCACATGCCTCCCGGTCTTATTCCTTCGGGTTTACACTGGATACCGGGTGTGTGGTTGCAGCTGTGGGTGGTGCAGCGCAAGCGTCCTTTGGCTGTCCCCAGTGACAGGCAAATCCGAAACCGGATGCTGCCAACCATGTTGGTAATAGAAGAAATTGAACTATTACATAGGTGGATCAAATAGAATACGAATCGTTGAAACGATAGAGTAATGGAGGGCTGTGAGAGTGAGATAGTACTAGAGAAAAGGAAACAGCTGACTGTCATGGTTAATCCGCATTGAAAATAACACGCATATTTCTCTCCCCACTGCACAGATTTACATGCATCCCTGTGGGTCATAAACTTCGAAGAGGCCAGTTGGTCTGAATACATCCAGAATGCCCGCTGATGTAACAAAGTGAAGGGCATTCAATTCCATATCCAAATGTTTTGTTGGAAACAGCTAAGGTAGATGCACAGAGAATTGAATTTGTGAAAGTGTGCCAAGGTTGGCAGACCCGGAGGGAGAAGTATTTGCGTCGCCAATCGAGATGACTGTGTTGTTGACTCAGTTACGGGCTACTGCCTCGGGCTGCGTTTCCAAAGGTAGTGGCGTACGTGACTGGGGTTGCTCAGTAGTTGGTACACTAATACGAGGTTTCCACGTAGCAGCCGGTAGCTTCCACTGAACACTACTAGTGACTTCACTCGTTGCTGGTACGGAAGGTTACACAATCCCTCGACAAAGTTCGTTGCTTAGCGTTGGGGAGTTTCGAGCGCTGCATGGTCACACATTAGCTAAGGATGCCAAGCATGGATTGCGTATTCGACTTGGAGACGCCCGTAGGCATTGAGCATCAGAGGGAAGATGGATGAATCGGAACTCCTGAGTGCCCTCCGCAAGAGGCCAACATGTTGGTTATGGCTTTCTGAAGCGGATTCTGACTGCCTGAAACAACTGAAATCCTCCTGTACCAACACGCCGAGGTCACTTTCCAAAGTGTTTGTCTGCAGATCGTGCGCTTCAAGTTCGCAGTTAAAGATATGTCGATGGCGGATGCGGGTAACGCGATACTTGTCCACATTGAATGGCGATGCTTTCCTCACGGACTAATACTAGGCCTCGTGGGGTTGCGATGGAGGATCTTGTGGTCACCCATTCCCATGATCGCCCACCAGGCCTTAAAGTCGTCCGTGAGAAGTAAAAGTTTAAGTGAAAAATCTTAGTAGATGGTTAATGAAAACTAAGGATAGGTGAGGCCCAAGTACCGAACGCTGCGATATACCGCACTCCACTGGAATCGGGTCGGACAGAGATGGTCAGAGTCTTATCTCCAATTGTCATTCGCGGAGAAAGTTACCAATCCATTCTAATACTGAATCTCCGATGCCATAGTGCTGACGTTGGTGAAGCAGAGTTCAATGATCCAAGTGATCGAAGACTTTCAAAAACTTCGTGTAGATAACATTGGTTTCTGTCATATTATGTAAATGGAGTCTGAAGCCGAGTTTGAAGTCGGTGAAGGTAAGAAAGGAAATGACAGAAGTCCAGATCCTGTCGCAGGTCTAGATGACAAGAAAGGAGAAAGAGTTCCGTCACGGTTTCAACTAGCCATACCGTGTGGTTAAATTCAGAGGGTGGGTTCTCGCCCAAGTATTGTGGCTAGGTTTCAATTAGCTTCGGTAAGAGATTTGTGTATTTGATGATTTGATGCACTAATATAAAATCATGCCACAGATGACAACCTATTTCGTTGAAAAAGCCTAGGGTCTTCAGTCTAAGCTGATGAGAGAGAGATGGGAAAAAACACGATATTTTTAGTTAGCATTCATTGTGGACTCCCAAGAGTAGCAAGGTTATGCTTCTTTTAAGGGCGCTAGAACTGGATAGCATATTCCACTTGAGCCCTGTTGTAGGTATCACGCATTTGCGAAAAGGAGTTATAGTCCAATTGGCTAAATGCCTACAGCAACTGGCCCAAGGAGTGGGTTATTGATTTCGTTGCTTCTTCGATTCGCGTTGAGGAAGAGGTTGGTCCGTATGGCTACGCCGAGAACACTTCAATAGGGAAGCGCGTTATGAAGGCTGCACCTCTACCGTATGCTACGTGCACTGCATTTTGAAGAGACAACCTCGACCATGTTCCGAAATGACGTCTCGTGGGCCTTGTCGAAGTCTTCTTGC